GCAGAGTAGTGGATTTTGCAACAGCATTGATGACTGAGTCTTTGTCCGGCCTAATTTGCGGTGTGGTTACGTGTACATTCGTCATATGTTCTCCCATGTTTGGATTCACGTCTGGCCTAACTTTGCGCTTGCTCTTCCTTTCGTTGAGCTGCGTCCGGAGGGCTTGGTAGGCTGCCGGAAGGCCAATACAGCGGCTTATGCGGTAGCCTCCGTATGCCAGGCCTCGATTGTTTCCTTGGCTACGCGGTCATTTCCTCGACCCCGAATTTTGGTGTTCTGGAAGGCGAATGTGTCCAGAGTCCGCTTAGTGCTCCACCACCAGAGACAATGGGTCCATTCCTCTCACTGACAGTATGTGTTCGATAGCACGGTTGATTAGCCGTTCGCCTGTATCTCCGACGTAGTTTGCATCACAAGAGTTACACTGGACATGTTAGTTGATATTTGTCGTCTCACCTCGTGGCAGGGGGCCATCGGGCTCTTTAAAAAATGTCGAATGGTTAAGTCTGGTCCATGGGCAATTCCGATCCCCTAGGGACTTAGGAGACGGGAAAATTCCTCAGGCATATATTTACGTATATATTGTAGTAGGGGGAGCTCACATATACATATATATGTGTGTTAGGGGGCGCTCACCCGATCCTTCGAACGAAACTCACTCATTCCGATGTGCCTTGTGGACACTCTCTCGAGCCCAACCAGCAGCCGCACAGCGCCGCATGATATATAGGCACAATAGCATTACCGACAAAGACAAGGGAGACTGGAATGGCCATTTCTGGCTTATTAGCCGTCGTCAGCCAGCCATACCCAAGCCCGTAGTGTGGAACACCCGAGCCTCGAACTCGCGACCTGTCGGTTAAGAAGTCAACGCCTCTATTCACCGGGCCAGGAGCCCGTTGCCCTGTCGGTTTTCGATCGGGAATATACAATGTTAGGGGACGCTCACCGATCTTTCATACGGAACTCACTCGTTCCGTTGTGCCTTGTGGACTCTCTCTCGAGCCCAGCCAGTAGAGGCGTTGACTTCTAAACCGACAGGTCGCGAGTTCGAGGCTCGGGTGTTCCACACTACGGGCTTGGGTATGGCTGGCTGACGACGGCTAATAAGCCAGAAATGGCCATTCCAATCTCCCTTGTCTTTGTCGGTAATGCTATTATGCCTATGTATCATGCGCCGCTGTGCGGCTGCTGGTTGGTCTCGAGCGAGAGTCCACAAGGCACAACGGAACGAGTGAATTCCGTATGAACGATCGGTGAGCGCCCCCTAACATTGTATATTCCCGATCGAAAACCGACAGGGCAACGGGCTCGTGGCCCGGTGAGTAGAGGCGTTGACTTCTAAACCGACAGGTCGCCAGTTCGAGGCTCGGGTGTTCCACACTACGGGCTTGGGTATGGCTGGCTGACGACGGCTAATATGCCAGAACTGGCCATTCCAGTCGGTAATATCATTCTGCCTATATATATATTTAATAGCAACTACGTCCATTAAAGAAAGGAAAGATCTTTTTTGAGGAAATTTTTGAATTCGGTTCCCCGTTTCGTCGTCGGACTCAAGTAAATGTGCAGAAAACAATTAACATTTCCAAATCGCTGCAAAATCAATACTCATTTGGTGCTTCAGCCAGTAAGCGGCCGTCGTGTGGCTCAGTCCGTATTGATCGGCCTTCGTCTCTTGCACTTTTCCCTGAGACTTTTTATACGTGGCATCTAACTCGCTATGCCTGTTGATGCATGACTCATCGGAATGCATGACTTCAAGAAACTCTCGGCCTTTTTTAGATTAGCAAACTCCGACGAAGCGAGTTTTGTCCCAAGCGAATGTGTGCCCAGACCTATGCTTAATGTGTACGTACTGAGATCGTAAAGTAGTCGTCGGCATGTGCGCCACTTTTATCTGGTGTTTCCTCAAGTGTCTTTCAACAAGTTCAGACACATTCCTGATGTAAGGAAGGATTCGCCAAATTTTTGCTTTGGGCGCTTGGCTGGAACTATCTAGTTCCTTTGTTTTTATCTCTTGTTGTTTCATGCATCGACGTACGAAATCTCTCGGGTATCCGTTCTGGGAAAATAATTCAAATAAGTAGTTTAGTTCAACTTGGTAGCTTTCTTCATCAGAGAAATGTGTTTTTGCTCGATGTATCAGACTTTTGACAGTACTCCGCTTGTAAGAGATCGGACTGTTGATCTTTTAGTGTGGAATTATTTCTGCATATGTTTCTTTGCGGTAAACGGAGGTGTGTAATGTTCCGTCAGTCTTACGCCGTACGAGAACATCTAGAAATGGGAGTTTATTGTCAAGTTCTTTTTCCATTGTGAATTTAATTCACGGAACGGTTGAATTGATTGTGTCGTGGAGTATTTCTAGTTGATCCGTTTTAACGACGACAAACGTGTCGTCTAAATATCGTACCCATAACTTAGGGTTAACTAATGGAATAGCCACCGATTCCAATTTCTGCATGGTCTCCTCTGCAAGAAAGCCAGATATGGGTGATCCCATTGGAGCACCTTTTAGTTGTTGATAATATTGGTGATCGAACGAAAAATTGGTTTCTAAACAAAGGTCTATAAGTTCAAGTAAGGCAGATGCGTGTCATAGGACTTTAGGAGTTCATCTGTGCATTGCCTTGCAAAATCTAATGGTATGGAAGTGAACAAAGAAACCACATCAAAGGAGACCATTATCTCATCCGCGGAAATTGTGATTCTCATCAATAGCTTTAGAAAATCTATGGAATTTTGAGTGAAGTTTCACAGTCTACCGTAAGTGGGTGGAGTTGGGGGAATAAACGCTTAGAAATTTGTAATTGGTTGCACCGATTAATGATACTATCGGTCGCAGTGGTACCTCAGGTTCGTGAACTTTGGGCAATCCGTAGATTTTGTTAACGGTTGGTTTAGATTGTCTCAGAGATCTTGCAATGTCTCCTGGCAGTTTTTCCAGTCAAGTGAGGCGCTTCAGCACTTTATCAATCGACGAATTCTGTCCCTTTGTAGGATCCATGGAAAGAGGCTTATCCATTGAACTGTCTTCTATATATATATATATATATGTTGAAGGCAGAGGCGTTCTTTGGGAAAAGGTACTTTATTGCGTGAATTTTCGACGCCGGTTCCCCAGGTCGTCGTCAGACGCAGACTGAAAGTAAATGTGCCGAAAACAGTTAACATCTGG